CAAGGATGTCAGAGATGGCCTGCCGCGTGTTGCCCTTCAATCTCTGGAGGGCGGCCTCGATACCGGGGGCGTCCCCGAAGAAGGGTGTCATGAGCTCGCGCGGGGCCGCCGGAGGCACCAGCTTCTGCGTGCCTCTCTGATCGCGCCGCAGCGTTTTGCTCAGTTCAAGTGCAACCTTGGTGTTTGGTGGGAGGGCCCCGCTGGTGCAGAGATGCTCTAGGAGGTCGGCGCCGACCTCCCGCCAGCGGGCAAGGGATGGAAGGGATTTGGAACCCTTTGAGCATACGGCGCGCGCGGAGGTGGATCTCGAGGTTATCCTTGGCGTCCAGCGCGGCGAGCTGGAAGCTATCCCGGAGATCGTTCGTCGTGTCCTTGAGGGCGGCATTGGTGTCACCGGACTGCTAGGAGGCAACTACTGGGAGGTCTTCGTCGGAAGAATCAAAGAAGATTAAGCCCCATTTGGGAGCTGTTACGCCGGAGTGGGCCTCGGACTAAGCAACACTAAGCGGGATTAAGCGGGATTAAGCGGGATTTGGGACCAGGGCAAAATCAGAATTTGACCTCCCAGAAGTTGCATCCGAAGGACTGGTCCAGGAGCTGCATCGCCCACGCTCCGCGTATCTCGGCGTCCTCCAAAATCGAAGAGCTGGTATGTGTCGCTGACGTCCAGGCCCGGTTTTTGACGAGGCCGGTGGTCCCGTCGATGTCGTACGCGTAGGCGGAAAGCTGATGATGATGCTGATGATGATGGTGGTGGTGATGATGATGATGGTGGTGATGATGGTGATGATGATGGTGATGGTGATGATGATGATGGTGATGATGATGATGATGATGATGATGATGATGATGATGATGATGATGATGATGATGATGATGATGATGGTGATGGTGGTGGTGGTGGTGGTGGTGGTGGTGATGATGATGATGATGATGATGATGATGATGATGGTGATGATGGTGACTGTGATGGTGGTGATGATGATGGTGCCACTGATGATCATACTAACAATGACGACACCGATGAGAACGCGCGGAGGGCAGAAGCGAGAGGAGAGAGGGGAGGAAGAGGGGGAGGAGGAGGAGGAGGAGGAGGAGGAGGAGGAGGAGGAGGAGGAGGAAGGAGAGGAGGAGGAGGAGGAGGAGGAGGGGGGAAGGAAGGATGCGGGGCGATGCGTAATCAAACAAAGGACCCAACACCACAGGACGGCTGGGAACCACCAGAGCCCTAGACCCCTATCTTCCTGCGGTATGTCTCCAGCTGGATCGAGACGTGGGGATCCCGGGCCCCGAAGCGACGCGGAATCGACCAGCGTGAGAAAACTGCGACGCCTGGATCTCAAGGCCATCGAAGAAGCAGCACCCGACCTGCACCCAGCGGGCGCGCAGGTCGAGCCCCCGGGGCCGCCCGCGCCGATGCCGCGCTCGAGCCGCGCGGCGAGGCTGCCGACGCTGCCGGGGGTGACCGGCGAGCTCATAGCGCTGCCGCGCGGCGTGTACTGCGGCACACGCAGCGCCGCAGCGAGGGGGCCCGCCTGCGCCGCCGCTCAGCGCCCATCAAACGGGGACTCCACTAACGGGCACTTTGGCCAGTGACCCAGCGAACCCAACCCTTCCCGATGTGGGCAATGCTGCATTGCCAGAAAGAGGCCCCAAAATGGCAACTTTCGGCAACATTGCAAAATACCCGTTAGTGCGTACCCGCTACGGTGCCGTTGGGCAGCGGCGGCGGCCGCGCCACCGCGGGGTGGCTGCGAGCGCCGCGGTGCCCTGAGGTCTATCGCTCAGGTGAGGGCTTGGGGAGGCCATCACAGGGGCCCCTAAGCCCAATGCCAGACCAGCAGGAAGGCTGGTGCTGGAAGGAGGACCATCACAAGCCTTCGGAATGAACGTTTTCTTCATCTCGGCTCGGGTGTGGATCCGAATCGTAGCGGCGTGGACATCGCACAGCCGCCTCACCACCGCAAACGAATTCATTGCGTTAGCGTCGAACGCATTGGGACAATTCCACTCGTAGCATGGCCCTCTCCCTCGTCGCAAACAAAAATGCCACAGAAGACTGTGGTACAACCTTTACCTCTGGGCCGCGGGGGCCGGGCCCCAGGGCCCCCAGAAAATGTCACGCAGACCGAAACACCTGCCACTGGAAGTTAAGACCTCTGGAGGTCCACGTTGTGAAACAAATCGCGACGTCGGGGGTCTGGGCTCGAGGAGGAACGCAAGCAGCACGGGGCGCGACTGGCGCCGATCTCACAATCTTTACACTGACGGAAGCTTGAGCTGCTCGAAACAAGTTCACGCATGCAGAGGAAGGGACTGGGGAGGGGAAGCCGAGTGCCGAACTACGCTTGAGAAGTGTCAGCGGAGGCAGGGGGCTCAAGGAGAAGGAGGAAGGACGACTTTCTTCATCACCTGCTGCGTGCTTGTGTTTGCGTGTTTTGCCACTCTTGGGGCCTGTTGGAGGCTCCTCGCCGATGTGGCCCGGGCCAGCCGCCAAGCTCTGGACGGGACGCCCTCCCCCCCGCGGGGCTGAGCTTCGACCTCTGGACCCAGGCATTGACTACCTACCAGACCACCCCAACCCAACCCGAAGGCACGAATTTGACCCGAATTTCGGGTTGGGGGGGGTACGGGGACCCTGTGTTTTTTCGACGTTCCCCGATCCCCCCCCACTGGAAATGGAGGTCAATTTGAGGCCTCCGGGTTGGGTTGGGGTGGTTTGGTGGGTGGTGAGGCATCCGTCGGACCCTGGCATCCTGCAGGCCTATCATCCGGAGGGGGGGGGGAGGCTGGAGCTACAGCGGGGAGGAGGGCAAAACATACACCGCAACGTGAAGCCTCCGCACGCCTCGTGAGGGGCAACGTTCGGGGGGGGGGGAACCGGCTCGGGGGAAGGGACACATCGACCTGGAATCGGCGACACGTCGCCGAACGATCGGCGACTGGCGCTCGATAGCAAATCAGACGCTCCTGGGTGCGGTGGGCTATCGGGCACCCGTCGGCCATAAATGGGCGCTTGGTGGAAGATGCATCTCCCCCTGAGCAAGACAAAGCCAGGACGAGGACAACATCGGGTGACAACAGATCGAGAATCTCTGAGGTCTTGCGGCCCTGGGGGATAGGAAGCCATGTCGACTCCTACGCCCCGGCACACAATGTTCGGCGTTGGGGCCCAAGCGCGTCTCGCTCCCAGCGGCTAAAGACTGGTAAACACGCCTGGAAACGTGATCGTCATCCTCCGCCTCCTCCTCCTCCGCCTCCTCTTCCTGCTCCTCCTCCTCCTCCCGAAGAGAAAACAAACGCGCCCGCCTGGGAGAGCTGGACATCGGACGAAGGCCCTGACTGCCCGCCACGAGGCGGCCTACCACCTGCGCTGAGGAGGGGGGCGGCCGAGCATCCGTCGCTGCCGGCGCGCGCCGCCCTCGAGCCTCGTGGCGGCTGCCAGGAGCAGAAGGGAGGAAGGAGCGGTGCGGCAGCCTATGGATAGCGTGTCGCCCCGGCGCCTCGGCGGCAGGGTGTGCCTTGCAAGCGGATGGCATGTCGCTCCGCTCCGCGCGGCGGGAGGCTCGGAAAGGCTCGTGACGTTGACGACCGGCGACCGGGAAGTGGACAGCGTGTCGCGAGGCGCGGTGGGCCAGAACCGGTGGAGCGACACGCTATCCAAGAGTTCCCGGCCATGTGTCTCACGACAACCAGCGCCGAGCTGCTGGTTTCGGCCACGTGTAGGGCCAAGCAGCGCTCGGCGGGAGAGGAAGCAGAGAGCATTCGCTGGGCGTTTCAGCATGCGCAGCGTTCGTTACATCAAGCTGCTGCGGGGGCGTGAGGGGCGACCCATGTTGCTTTGCGGCCACGTCTTTGGGTATGTGGTGGATTTAGACGCTCAAGGCGATGACCAGGATCGCATTTTCACCTGCGAAATCAGAGGCGGGATGCTCAACAGGATGGGGCAAGGAGAAACGACGGCGCGAGGACAACCGACGACGGCGCACGAAGGAAGGAAAGAGGAGGAGGAAGCTCGCTCGCTATCTGCGCATGGCCAATTCTTCGACGACGGCAAACCAGACCAGCTCGATGCACGCCTCCGCGCGTGCCGACACGACGCGACGGCGTGCACTGGTCTGGGTCTGGCACACGGTCGGCACCGACAAAGACTCTCGAGTCACTCGAGACTTCCGGGGCCGCACAGCGTTCGATAGCTCTGTGCTTCCAGCGGTGGCTAACACGTGGGAGCCCCCCACGCAAGCAACCGGCTTGGAAACTTCAAGGCTACGGCACAGGGTCGTGAAGCCTGTCTGACAGAAATTTGACGACGGTCGAGTCTGAGACACGTTCTCGGATATGCAGAGGGACGAGACGGTTAGGAGGAGGAGGAGAGGAGGAGGAGGAGGAGGGGGAGAAGGAGGGGGAGGAGAATGATGACAGAAAGGATAATTACGAGCACGATCCTCAGATCCACTCGGCCAGCACACGGGCAACCTGTATTACCATGGCCAGCCCACTCCCCGTCTACCTCCCCGACCGCCAGACACCAATCCGATTACTTCTCATCCCGCAGGAGGGCGAACAAGACCCTGCCATTACGTGCACAACAATTCCCCCACGAAGCACCAACGACGATAGGTTTGGGAGGAATGCGAATGCGGGCAGCAAGAAGTGCAGATGTGACTGGTGCCCCAGCGCCACACCCCTCCACGAATGGCACTGTGGACGGCCCCCTGAAGGTATGTTCATCTTTCCCCACAGCAGCCCCGACTCCAGGCCAGACACACACGGCCTTCCACCATACGGCGCATGGGTCACGCTATTCTCCAACAGGGAGGGGAACGCGATGTGGTACTGCGAGCGCTGCCTGGTTGACCTCTGGAACGCACGCCCAGGGAACGTTCGGGAAATCCTGGCCCGGGACGGTACCCTGATCTATCGGGAGAACCCGCCTAGGAGGACGCGGGCCCTGCCACAGCCGTCTACCCCCAGCCCACTCCTTGACCCGTTTCACCTCTTCTCCCCTGCGCCACATGCGGGAGCCACGCGCGAGCAGACCGACCGGCGGCCCGCGGAGGCACCCCGCACCCACACGCGCGAGTCCAGCCTCATCGCGGTTGGCGGGGCGCGCCCCCGACTTCATCGCGTGGGCGAACTTTTGCTCGCGCAGGCTGTTCTCCTTGATGCAAGGGCTCCCAACTTCGCGCTTCGCGCTGCGCGAAGCGCGAAGCGCGAATAACTTCGCGCTCTCGCGCCGCCCTCCCAAATGGAGAAAAGGAGGACGAGGAGGAGGGGGAGAAGGAACGAGGACCGCGAAGCGCGAAGCGCGAATAACTTCGCGCCCTCGAGGGAGCCCTTCTTGATGGCCCTGAGGAGCCTGAGGAGAAGGAGGAGGAGGAGGAGGAGGAGTGGGAGGGGGAGGAGGAGGAGGAGAAGAGGAGGAGGAGGAGGAGTTGATGGCCCCGAGGAGCCTGGCCTGGAATGCCGCGGGCACCCTCGGACACCTGGCCCGCGCAGTGCGCCCGGAGCCCCTTCAGCTGATGAGCGGCGCCAGCGCGCTGGCACGCTCCTCCTCCTTGCTCCTTGCTCCTCCTCCTCCTCCTCCTCCTCCTCCTCCTCCTTCCTCCCCCCCCTCCTCCTCCTCCTCCTCCTCCTCCTCCTCCTCCTCCTCCTCCTCCTCCCCTCCTCCTCCTCCTCCTCCTTCTCCCTCCTCCCCTCCTCCCCCTCCTCCCCCCCCCCCCCTCCTCCTCCTCCTCCTTCTTGCTCCTCCCCCAGTTCGCCCCGACCGCACTGGCCTTAGTTGTATACGCGCGTCGCGCGCCACTCTCCGCGCGGAAAAAACTCGCCATTGGGCGACGTTCGCGTTGCAGCGCCACGCGAGCAGAGCTCGTCAGTGGTCGCGCTGCATCGCCGCGCAAGTAAGGCTTGGACAACACCAGAGTTAGCGCCACCCGAGCAAAGCTCGCCGTGGAAACTAAGGCGGGAACTTCCCACGCGGCCATCGCGTCGTCCGGCTGCGCCATGGCCATCGCGACGCCGCCGCTAACCCGCGAGCTCAGAGACTCGGGCAACGCGCTTACTCGCGCCAATACGACTAATCACCGGCACCTTCATCATCCGACACCATCACCACCATCGTCATCTTCATCAGCAGGTGATGCGTTGTTTGCGAGCAGAGCTCGCGATCGCAAGCGAGCAACGCTCGCGCTGCAACGTCACGCGAGCAGGCCCGCTCGGTTTCAAACGCAACTGTGTGTATGAACGTGTGCTTGTAAATCAATTGGGTTTCTATCGTATGTGTAAGAGCAACTGCGGCGCATCAAAAAAAAGACGGAACACAATTGAAACATATCATTTGTGATGACTGGTTTGAACCAAATAGATAGCGAGTGCTTGATCATACATAGATATGGAATACGTATAGATATATAAATACGTATGTGTATATGGAACAGATGGGGAACCCACACCTATTCTACAACTGCTGTACACTTCTACTACAACTATTAAAGATCTAGTTTGAAACCGCTTGGAGCGGGCCTCAAAGCAGATGCCAAAAGACCTCCAGGAAGCCCCAAGAGGCCCCCACGAGGCTCCCAACCGGCCCCAAGAGCCTCCCAATGGGCCCCCAAATTACCCCCAAGAGGCACCCGAGAGCGCTCGTCGGCGTCGTCGTCGTCGTCTCCTTTCAGGGTCGGCGGCGCTGGCCGTAAGGCCTACGCAATACCAGCGAGCTGCGAGGATGCATTTAGCAAGCCTCAGGCGTACCCCTCGTAGCCTGTGGCCGATGCGTATGTCATTAAGATATTGCTTCAAAGCTTGAATGCTGAGGCCTGAATGCTTGACACCAAGTCAGGACGGCTCAATACCTTTGGGGTCAAAGCATTCCCCCTCACCATCATGTACCAGGCTGGTCACATGTAAGACCAATGAGTCTATGTGCTATGCGATGAAAGAACGCTCCCAGTGTATCAGTGGGAGGTGTGGGGTTAGATGCTCGTCCTGAAGACCTCACTGGAGAGCCACTCGCTTCACTCGTGCGTCGAGGCTGCGTCGAACGTCCGTCGGCACGAATCGAACTTGAGTCTAACCCGAATCGAACTGGACTCGAACCTGAGTCGAACTTGAGTCGCTGAGGTCGAACTAGAGCCGAACAGATCTGTTAGGTGGGGCCCAGGAAAGTCTCCCAAACGAGCATCTAACAGAGGGGTTCCAAGAGTGGGTTCAGGTCAGACGGGGTATGCCGAACCTCCCTGACACCTCTGCTGCTCCTCGTCACTCGCAGTGTATCCCCAGCTCTGCGGCGAGCAAGGCGCGCCGCTCCGCACTCGCAACCCACGTGGCGATGAGGGCCTCCCAAGAAGTCCAGACAGGCGAAACCGAGGGAAGGGTAGTGCTTTCCTCCTCCGATGTCCTCTTCCCTCTCCCACCGCGGTGGTCGTGGCAGCCAGCGTCTCCGCTGGCCGCGGCGGGCGCCCCATCAGGGCATCCGTGCGGCGCGCGGGGAGGCACGGCGGAGGCGGATGAGCTGTGCGACGAGGAGTCGAGAGAGCAGGTGGGGAGGGGGAGGCGGACGAGGAAGGGGAGGTGCATGGGGGAGGAGGAGGCGGCGGAGAAGGAGGACAAGAGAGGACAAGAGGAGGCCGAGACCGAGGAGGCAGAGAAGGAGGACCGGGAGGCTCCCCGGGAGGACAACATGGAGGAGGCAGCTGTGGAGAAGGATGTGGAGTGGGGCTGTTGGGGAAGAGAAGGAAACCCGGGGGGGGCGAGAAGGGGCGAAGAGAGAGAGCAGGCGGCTGGAAGGTGGGCAAAAAAGGCGACGGGGTTCCCAGGAGACCGAATTCGGGCTGGCGAGTCCGTTTGGCCACTCGCTCTTGCTGCACATGGCCCGCTGGCGCCTCGTGGCGCCACGCGGGGCACGGGGCCTATCCGAATTCCACGCAGGAGCGGGGCAAGACGACGACGAGGAGGACGACGACGACGACTACAAACTACGACGACGACCGCGGCGGCGACGCCGACAGGAACACGTTGGCGAACACGTTGAAGACCAAGACGACGCCGACAGGACCACGTTGGCGACCACGTTGACGACCAAGACGACGACGACAACGACAGTGACGACAACGACGACGCCCACGACGGCGACGACCACGACGGCGACGACGACGACGACCATGACGACCACGACGACTACAACGGCGGTTGCGGCGACCGCGACGGGGCTGACGTCAGCGCCGGGGGACGACGCCCGCCCACAAGTCGAAGCAGTCCGCCTCGCGCTGCGGGGGGCACCAGGCCTGTGCGCCGGCACTCTCTGCGCCAGCAGCGCAGGGCATTCGAGCAAGGATGCGGTCGGAAACTTTCGCTTAGCACGTCGCGGCCGGGGCCCCGACGACACGCTTCACCCTGCACGCGCAGAGCGTGTCGCCCCGCGCCGCGAGCTGGGAGGCTCGGAGAGGCTCCAGGCGATGACGCCTGGGAGCCTGGACGTTCACAGCGTGTCGCACCGATGCGCAGTGGGCCACGTCAGGCGGCGCGACCCGCGGGGCCAAGAATTCCTGACCGTACGCGCTGTACACGGCCAAACCCGGACATCCGACGACGTCCCGTTTTCTCCATGCGCGGCCCCAGAGACGTCCTGACCCCTTCCCCAGGGGAAGGCTTTCGCCCCCGAACTGGGCTCGATGGCTCCAGGGCCCGACGGCGGCCAGGGGCCCCAGATGCCGACCTGGAGAACGCACGCTGTGGCAGAACAAACATCAGATCGCCAGAGATCTGGGAGCGCAGGAGTGTGGGCCCTGGGACGTCCTCGGGCGAAAGGGGGGGATAGCAAAGGGGGGGGTTGAACATCAGCTCACGTAGCTGACTTTCCCGGCGCCTCCCGGCGCCGGAGGCGGCCATGTATCGAGGAATGGGCCCCTCGGTGAGGCCGAAACCAGCTGCGTGCAGCAGATTTCGTAACCCCCCCTTTCCCAATCCCCCCCTTTCGCCCGGCCCGACTGTTGCAGCAGCCGCAGCAGTGGCAGGACCTGGCAGGGGGCCGGGGTGAGCGTCCGCCGTCGGCGCAGCACAGCGCCACGAACTCGCAGAGTGAGCCCGGGGGGGGAAGACCGAGGGGGGCAGGCCTGCTCAGAGGGCTCCGGAGGCTGCCAGCCTTCAGAGAAGCTTCTCTATCCTTTGAAGGGAAACTGGGACACACAAATAAATACGCACAAATAAAAAGATGCCCCATATTTTCCAATATTTTCTGGGTTTCTGTCTTCCCCCCCACTTCCCATATTTTCCCATATTTTCTGGGAATCGAGGATTAATTGTGTCTGTGTGTTTTTTCCCCTCCTGAACAAAGACGGCTTCTCAGAAACCGCGAGGGCCTTTGACAAGCTCCGCTGCCTTCTGAGGAGGCATGCCCCCTGACGCTTCCCCCCTCGCGTCGCCGAACAGCAGAACACTCGGGAGCCAACATCCCACAGATGATAGCAGGGAGCCGAGATTTACTGTATGTCGCAGCCCGCATATCACGCACGGCTCGGCGGTGCCATTCTCTGAGGGGCTCGGAAGATTGGTTAACAATTCATGTAGCATTCGCACGGCAAGTCAGCTGGTGAACGATCTCTCGAGCATCGTCTGATACGTACATCGCGCCGCTGGCTGTATGACGCGCCATCCTTGAAAGCGCTTCGCTGCGCCAGCTGCCCGTTGCTCTAGACGGACAAGTGGCGTCGAGCAAAAAATTGCTGGATCAACCAACCTCGTCACATACAGCTGGCACCCAGAGAGTCTGACGTTATTCTCTGTCTCCTCCTTCTCACCATCGCCATCATCCACACCATCACCCTCCTCCCTCTCGCACCCAGTATCAATGGATTCCCCTGTTTGCCTCGTCTTATCATGTGTTCTCCTCGTCACCCTCACCATTCATCTTTACCATCATCATCTTCCACGCCGTCTTCCTCATCGCCCCCCTCTCCTAGAGCTCATCGTGCTTATCTGTGGCCTCATGCTCCTGCTGCTTCGTCTCTTCGCCACTTCCTGTATTGTTATCCACCTTTGATTCGCCTGTTCATTTGACGCAACAGCCAGCATAGTGGTTCCTCGCAGCGCCGCGCAAAATGCAGACTGGGTTACCGCAGAAGTGGATGAGAGGAGCAGGAGGGAGGACGAAACCGTAAGCTAGGAGGCGAAGAAGGATAAGGACCCCGCATGCGGTCCCGAAGCCTTTTTCGGCACACCCTCACACGTGTCGTAAACCTACAGGGAAACCCACCGAAGGCCCCAGCGGCAGCGCCCGCATGGCGTCACCCCTGCAGCTTCGGCATACCCCCCACGGTTCGTGAGTCCACAAGGAGCACCGCCGAAGGCCCCAGCGGCAGCGCTTGCATGGCGTCACCCCGCCTATTTCGATACACACCCCTCATACGTTTCGTGGCCTCACAAGGAGTTCCACCGAAGGCTCTACCGGCAGCGCCCGCATGGTGCCACCTGCCCATCTCAGCACACCCGTTACAGGTTTCGTGGCCTCACAGGGAACTCCAACTAAAGGTCACGGTCCCCCAGCCCAGATCGGCACACAACTCACACGTCTGGTGACCACAAGGAGGGGCCCCACCGAAGGCCCCATCGGCAGCGCCCGCATGGCGTCACCCGGCCCATTCTGACACACCCCTCACACGGTTCGTGAACCCACTGGGAGCCCCTCCGAAGGCTCCGGTGGCAGCGCCCGCCTGGCGTCACCTGCCCATTTCACCCCACCGGGATCCCCACCGAAGGCCCCAGCGGCAGCGCCCGCATGGCGTCACCCCCGCCCATGTCGACGCACTCCTCAGTCGCCTCGTGACCCCAACTTCGTGCCACCTTCTTTGCGGCCCTCCCCCTTGCAAATGGCCGGGCCCGTCGGCCAAATCATTGTCACAACGCCGACCCCCAGACCGCTCCTCCTCCTCCTCCTCCTCCTCCTCCTCCTCCTCCCCATGCTCCTCCCCATGCTCCTCCTCCTCCTCCTCCTCCTCCTCCTCCTCCTCCTCCTCCTCCTCCTCCCCATGCTCCTCCTCCTCCTCCTCCTCCTCCTCCTCCTCCTCCTCCTCCTCCTCCTCCTCCTTTTCCTCCTCCTAATCCCCCTCCCCTTCCCCGGGACCGCTCTGTCACCCTGGAATATCCGATGTGACGGTCCCCGGGGCCGGGCGAGGGCCCCTGGAGGCTGCTAATATGGCCAGATGCCTCCCCTCGGCTCGTGGTCAGAACGGTCCTCGCGCTACCATTCGGGTCGGGCGAAAGGGGGGGATAGCAAAGGGGGGGTTTGAGCTCACAGCTGACTTTCCCGGGCGCCTCCCGGCGCCGGAGCGGCTATGTATCGAGGAATGGGCCCCTCGGTGAGGCCGAAACCAGCTGCATGCAGCAGATTTCGTAACCCCCCCTTTCCCAATCCCCCCCTTTCGCCCGGCCCGAACCATGGGAAACGCTGCGCTGCGTCAAGATGACCGGCACAGCCCTCTGACTATCGAGGTCTCCCGAGAGGCCCCCAACAGCATCCAGCGGGAAAGCATTCCACACGTCTTCGTCCCGTCGCAATGTCTGTTACACCGAGAGGAAGTCGGGGATCACCACCCCTGTCGGGGCCGCCAGCCGCTCCCAAAGGGACGCCGCGCTGAGGGCGTCGCCCCCGCATAGATACGACGAAGTCAAGACAGGGACAACATCGGACCGGGGCACATCGGGGATACCTGAGATCCAGCGGTTCTGGAAGATACGCTCCAGAACAGCGCGCCGCGGCAATTCCCCCTCCTCCCCCTCCTCCTCCTCCCCCTCCTCCTCCTCCCCCTCCTCCTCCTCCTCCCCCTCCTCCCCCTCCTCCTCCTCCTCCTGCGGCACTGCGGGCAAAGCGGTTCTTGTCCGCCGCAGCCCGCGCCGCGCGCGCGCCCGAGCGCGCGGCGCGACGCACGACCCCCTCCCTCTGAGATCCTCTGGAGGGGCCTCTGGAGGGGGCCTCAAAGCGCCTCTGGAATCCTGGGCGACCCGCAGACAGGAGAGGGAGGAGCCTCAAGGGCCTCGGAGAAAGGAATGCGGGACCAGGATCCAGAAGCTAGAGGGCGCGCCTAGATTTGTACTAAGCCCGCCACCCCCCGACCACCACCTCCATAGTGGAGTACGTACTCCTCCCCGCTCGAAAGACGCGGAGGTGGTGGTGGAGGGGGGGGGACAAATTGTATTATAGGGTTGTGGGTCCCCTCCCCCCAACAGGTGAGAATCACCGCCTGCATGTGGCCCGAGGAAGGAACGGAGGGGGGACCCACAACTTACTGGGGGGGGGGGGGGGGCGCCCACGGGCCCAGGTGTCAGAAGTTGATGGGGATCTCTTCCCCCTCGCGGCCGCCAGCACCCCCAGGTCTGTTCCTGGGGGCTGGCACGCTCACCGCGAGGGGGTGATCACCAACCTGTACTCCGTGGGTTGGTGCTCGCCGTTGTTGTCGCTCGGGAGGCCGCCGTAGTTGCCGTTGCCATCATGTCCATCATAGTGCCACGTCTGTGCCTTTGTGTATGCGTCGGCGGTGGGCTGGAGTGTTTGCTCTATGGCCTGCGTCAGTGTCGTTGTCGTGGTGATGTCTGCAGGGCAGTTGCAAGCAGTGAATGCTGTGGTCAGGGTTGTGCTGCACGTCGTTGTGATGTATGCGTATTCCTGTAGCTGCAGGTATCGGAGGCTGCTGTCCAAGATGATGGTAGGTGTGCGCGTCATCATCATCCGCTGTGCGGTCCGTAAGACGTGCCGCATGCTGTCGTTGTCTTGTCGTACCGCTCTGTGCTGCGTGGGTGTGAGATCCAGTCGTCCCCAAGGTGCCTCTTGCGTCCTGAGGTTGAGGTCGCGGTCGAAGGTCGTGAGGTCGGCGTCGATGATGCAGAAGGCAGCGTGGTCGTATGGTGTCGTGGCCATGTCGGAAGCCGTTGGGTCAGGTTGGGGTGGGTGCATGGTTGGCAGGTGGTGGAGTTCGATGGAGATGCTGTGTCTGTCTGCGGTGGCTTGGAGGGCGTCGGTCACCGCGCTGGTGTGGTCGTGGTTGGCGGTGAAGAGCAGTACGATGCTGGGCTTTCCTGTGATGTCGGTCATCCCCGTGTCTGCTCGGTTGGGTCCGCTGTCTTGTGTGGTGGGTGCGTCGGTGGGTAGTTGGGCTGGTATTGGTCGGTGGTCGTGGTCGGCGTGGGTTGGTGGTCCCAGTGCTGGCCCATGTAGCTGGATGGGTGGCCGCTCGGCGTAGTCTTCTGGAAGCCCAGCGTGTCGGTTGGATCGTCGTACGCGTCGGGTCTCCTC